TCTATCCATCCATGTATTTATTTATTTACTTATGCACTTTTAACTTTAGCAAAGTCACTTTTTATCAGTAGTAGCACATGAACAATTCTAGGGCATAAGTGTAAAGCCAAGCACAGAGTAGGACAACATAAGGGATAAACCTGGTGTTCACAAAGGTAAGTTTACTAAAGGTGAAAGAAACCAGGAGCTTTGTGTGGAGGATACGTAACACATGCAGCCCAACAATCTAAAATACATGGAATTAAGCACAGACCACTGAGCAAGGATGTCTTCTCTCTGATGAATAGTAAGCTGACGTACAGTAGAAGGAGGGATGCATTTGTTCCAAATGCTATATACACCATTGAAAATACAATAAAGCACACATGCATTTCGGGGATGGAGATCTCCACTCTTTTTATTGGTCTGAGATTGGCTCTGGGTTTGTTTGAGCTGAACTCAGCCTTTGCCTTAAATTTTTGTTGGGATGGTGTGAAACAAAGTGCTGGGTGTGTGGTTAGAGCTGATGGGTTTATTACTGACGCTTCATCTGTGAAGTGTGAGCTGCTGGGTACAGCTCGTCCACCTGCATTCTCAGTGGATGGTGACTATGTTATTGGAGGTGTTTTCTCCATACACTATAACACACAGACAGTGAAGCATAACTACACCGCCAGGCCTGAGCCACTGCAGTGCACAGGGAGGTTAGTAAGAGGGAGAAGTGGGGGATAAAAGGATGTGACTGTGTGGGACTGAGCTGTTTTTGTTCATATTTTGTTCATATAATGATAATTAAAATCTTTTGCAATGCATTTGTGTAGAATTGAAAAGTAAAATCAAATATTTTCTTTTCTTTTTATTTCACATTGACATCCAAATCAGTGGGCCTATTAGGTCATAAACATTGCAAATATTATATTCACAAATATGTTAGAATGTAGCTATGTGAAAAAGAAGCACTTTTGTGTTTCCTAACTAAAAGTATAGTTATGTTGGAGAACTTTGGTGCTTACAAATGCAGTGCAGCTTTCAGATGTTGTTCACAACTAGGAATTGCAATTGTCCTTCATTGTGTACTTTGTTAAAATTAATAACTGTTCTTATCATATACAGTCTACATTTCAACAGTAACTTGAATATCTGTTTGCAGTATTGATGCTGTAGTACTTAAAATCTCACGTGTAATGGTCTTTGCCATTGAGGAGATAAACAAGAGTACAAAGCTGCTGCCGGGCATCAGGCTCGGTTATCAGATCCATGACTCCTGTGCTTCAGTGACTGTGGCAGTGCATGCAGCATTCCAGCTTTCTAATGGCCTGGACCCTGTGTTTTATACTGGTGCCAATTGCTCAAAATCTAGTACAGTGATGGCTGTTGTTGGTGAGTCTGGGTCCACACCATCTATAAGCATTTCACATGTCATCGGACCCTTTAATATTCCTCAAGTAAATATTTTAAATTACTGCCAAACTGTGTTTAAAATATGCCCATGTTGCTTTGACTGTCCTATTACATAATTATCCTACTGAAACAAGAGTACAAAGCTGCTGCCGGGCATCAGGCTCGGTTATCAGATCCATGACTCCTGTGCTTCAGTGACTGTGGCAGTGCATGCAGCATTCCAGCTTTCTAATGGCCTGGACCCTGTGTTTTATACTGGTGCCAATTGCTCAAAATCTAGTACAGTGATGGCTGTTGTTGGTGAGTCTGGGTCCACACCATCTATAAGCATTTCACATGTCATCGGACCCTTTAATATTCCTCAAGTAAATATTTTAAATTACTGCCAAACTATGTGTTTAAAATATGCCCATGCTGCTTCGACTGTCCCATTACATAATTATCCTACTGCGTTCCTTCTCTTCAGGTGAGCCACTCTGCCACTTGTGCATGCCTATCTGATAAGCGTCAGTACCCGAGTTTCTTCAGAACAATCCCCAGCGATCAGTTCCAGGCTGTGGCACTGGCCAAGCTGGTGAAACACTTTGGCTGGACTTGGATAGGTGCTGTCCGGTCAGATTCAGACTATGGGAATAATGGCATGGCGTCTTTCCTGGATGCAGCGCAAAAAGAGGGGATCTGTGTTGAATACTCTGAATCTTTCTATCGGACCCACCCACGTAGCAGGATCCAAAGAGTGGCTGATGTTATCCGCAGGTTTCTACATCTCTTGACTGTGCTTGTATTTCCTGTGCTGGCACTGCATTTTTGTACACGAAACCACAAGATTCAGTCAAAGAGAGGATTAGATGATTATTTTAATATTTCAGTGACAAATTGGGAGCTATTTTTTTACTATCATACAATAAAAAATAGTAATTGAGACAAAATTATATATTCTGCACACTAAAAAAAGTTTGTAGATATTTGTGTTATTAATTTAGAGACAGATTTCAAATCAATTTCAAATAATTGTATTTATTGGAATTCCTATGTACATTGTATTGTATAATAAAATGCACTGTAATGTTCTTGCAGTTCAACAGCTAGGGTTGTTGTGGCATTTTAGCCTTCCGGTGACATGGGCATCCTGCTGGAGGAGCTGTCTCGTGAGCCTTCCCCACCTCGCCAGTGGATAGGCAGTGAAGGCTGGATAACCCATCCAGACATGCTGAGGTTCACGTTCTGTGCTGGAGCAATCGGATTTGCCATTCAAAAATCTGTCATCCCAGGTCTGAGAGACTTCCTGCTGGACCTCTCTCCCACTAAAGTTGCAGCTTCTCCAGTTCTGACTGAGTTCTGGGAGGATGCATTCAACTGCAGGCTGGAACAAAGTACAAAAGTTGAGCTAATTCCTTGTGGTTGTGCTGTTTTGTTCACTTTATGACTACAGTGTTATATAAATTAAATATATATGCGTATATAAATTTCAACAAGGTGCATTTGATCATTTTAATAGGAAAAATATAATCAAGAAAGGAACAATGTAACATAATTTTCAAGGATAAACAACCTGCCCCTGTCTCTATGTTTTTAGGTTCTGCCACTGACAAGAAGGTGTGTAATGGAAGTGAAGACATACGGAAGCTCCAGAGCCCGTACACTGACACGTCTCAGGTCCGATCCGATAACATGGTGTACAAGGCTATTTATGCAATAGCACATGCCATTCATAATGTTGCCACAGACAAGAGGGTGTGTAATGGAAGTGAAGACATACAGAAGCTCCAGAGCCCATACACTGACACGTCTCAGGTCCGATCCGATAACATGGTGTACAAGGCTATTTATGCAATAGCACATGCCATTCATAATGCAGTGTGTCAGGAGACAAATTCTACACCTCAGTGTGACAAACTCACCAGGACAGAGCCCAAACAGGTCAGTTAAAGGGAATAAATGAACACTCAAGCTTTTGTTTAGCTGTAATCTTAAAATCAGAATCAGCTTTATTGGTGATTATTTTTATTATGTTGAAAAGACAAGGAATTTGATTCTGGTACAGTGGCTCTCAGTGTGGTTTCAGACAACAAGAAAAGGTATGTGCATTGAAATAGGAAGAAAAAGAAACAAGGACAAAGGGAAGAGACAACAATGTTTTCAAAAAAAATGTATACATCTATACAATGTGAAAGAAGAGCTTTGGACAAATATATACAGTGGTTTTATTTACAAGTTATTGTACTGGAGGTGTTTGCTGTAACCCTGTTATACAAACTGTGGAATTTGTTTTGTGCCAACAGAATGAATATTGCTATGGATGTAAAGTACTAAAAGTAGAAGCAGGGTTTTTTTCAATAAGGACTTATAACAGATTGATATAGCTGATCTCGGCATAAATTAGTGACTCTGACTTGCCCATAGGAGTGAGTGTGGTTGTCTCTTTCTTAGTGTCAGCCCTGTCATAGACTGGTGACTTGTCCAGGGTGTACCCTGCCTCTCGCCCAGTGTCAGCTGGGATTGGCTCCAGTATCACCCCACCCTCTCCGCAACCCTCTTCAGGATAATCAGTATAGATAATGGATGGATGGTATACAGTGTTTGTGTGACCGGATGCCTGGAGGACTCCCTTGACTTGGAGAGTGGTCACGATGACCCAGTACTAGCAAGTGAAGAAGACAGGATGTTGAAGAAGGAGTTATGGTCAAAATAGAATTTGGAATGTCATGGAGAAGATAAAAGTGATCTGAAGAGATCCTCACACACATGCACACTCACACCCACACACATATACATGTACTCAGATACATGAGACAAAAGTATATAGTGATCAAGATTTCAGCTCGACTTATGTTGCGTCTTCTTTACTTAAGTTTGTGAAAAGTTACAGTAAAAGTCAGATAAAAATCTGCAACAACAGACATGGATCAGCTGCTAATAAATGTGATGGTCCAGGGGAAGAAACTGTCCTTGTGTCTGGTTGTTTTGCGTACATTGACCTGTAGTGCCGTTCAGAGGGGAGGAGTTCAAACAGTTTGTCACCAGGATGTGAGGGTCCTGCAGAAATCTTCTCTGGCCTCCTTCTGACCCATTAGGTATACAGGTCCTCCACGGAGGGCAGGTTTACACAAAGGGTTGTTTCTGCAGTCATGACTGTCTGCTGGAGTCTGTTCCTGTCCTGTTTGGTTGCTGAACCAAACCAGACAGAGATGGATGGGCAGAGAACAGACTCCATGATTCCTTTGTAAAATTGAAGCAGCAGCTCCTGGGGCAGGTTGACCCTCCTGAGTTGGCACAGGAGGTACATCCTCTGCTGTGCCTGTGCTGACAGTCCGGGTGCTAGATGTGAGTTTCCCCAGCTTCACCTCCTGCTTCTTGTTTGTGATAAACTGACAGGTGTGGGCAGGCACAGTGAGTTGGGTGAGTTTGGAGTGAAGTTTATCTGTGATGATGATGTTGAACGTCAAGCTGAAGTACACAGAGAGGACCCATGTATAAGTCCCTGGGGAGTCAGGGTCTTGCAAGGTTGTAATGCAGGGCCATGTTGACTGTGTCATCCACTGACCTGTTTGCTCAGTAGGCAAACTGCAGGAGGTCCAGCTCTGAGCCTGTGATGTCCTGAAGGTGAGTTATCACCAGTCTCTCAAAACACTTCATGACTACAGATGTCAGGGCGACAGGTCTATAGACATTCAGTCCACTGGTGGAGGGTTTCTTGGAAACTGGGATGATAGTAGAGCACTTAAAGCATGTGGGGACTACATAAGGCTCCAGTAATCTATTGAAGATCTGTGTGAAGATGGGGCCCAGCTGATCAGCAGCAGAAATCTACAATTTATGAAAGGAAACATTCTTTTTTTTTGTACAATTTTTGTTTTATTCTCACAGATGCTTACTCAGCTGAAGAAAGTAAATTTTTCCCAGAATGGTTATCATGTGTCATTTGATGCCAATGGGGATCCTGTGGCCACATATGAGCTGGTTAACTGGCAGAAAAGTGAGAGTGGCAGCATTGTGTTGGTGACCGTAGGGTATTATGATGCATCACTGCCACTGGGCCAGGAGTTACATATCAACAGGAACCTCACCTGGGCAGAGGGCAGCACACAAGTGAGGAGCAATAATATAGCATTAAATCTTGGTGAAATGAATCATACCAGTTCTGTAGCAAAAATACAAATCTGTGTCATTTTATCTCTATGTACTGTATGTGGCAGGTACCTGTGTCAGTGTGCACTGACAGCTGTCCTCAAGGAACTCATAAAGTGCTGCAGGAAGGAAAATCCATCTGTTGTTATGATTGTGTCCCATGTCCTGTGGGAGAGATCAGCAATGCTACAGGTAAAATAAAATGGTTTCTCATGCATGTCAACCATATCAAATGTGTTACTGCTAAAACAATGTTTTGATTTACTCTTTCAGATTCCTCAGATTGTTTCCCTTGTCCCAAGGAGTTCTGGCCTAATGCAAACAAAGACACATGTTTCCCCAAGCTTGTAGAGTTTCTTTCCTTTGATGAGGTCCTAGGAATCATCCTGGCTGCATTCTCAGTTGGTGGTGCCTGTCTGGCCATTATAACAGCCAGTGTATTCTTTCGACACAGAACATCTCCAATTGTCAGGGCCAACAACTCTGAGCTGAGCTTCCTGCTGCTCTTCTCCCTGACTCTCTGTTTCTTATGTTCATTAACTTTCATTGGAGCACCCTCCGAGTGGTCCTGCATGCTGCGCCACACAGCGTTTGGGATCACCTTTGTTCTCTGTATCTCTTGTGTTCTCTGTAAAACTATAGTGGTGTTAATGGCCTTCAAAGCGACACTTCCAGGCAGTAATGTGATGAAATGGTTTGGTCCTCCACAGCAAAGAATGACAGTAGTGTCTTTCACATTTATTCAAGTGTTAATATGTACTATTTGGTTGGTTGTTAGCCCCCCTTTTCCAATGAAAAACCTAACCACATACAAAGAAAGAATCATCCTGGAGTGTGCATTGGGCTCAGCTGTTGGGTTCTGGGCTGTGCTTGGGTACATTGGCCTACTGGCTGTCTTTTGCTTTGTGTTAGCCGTCCTAGCCCGGAAACTACCTGATAACTTCAATGAAGCCAAGTTTATCACGTTCAGCATGTTGATATTCTGTGCAGTCTGGATCACTTTTATCCCAGCATATGTCAGCTCTCCTGGGAAGTTTACTGTGGCTGTGGAGATATTTGCTATTCTGGCCTCCAGTTTTGGTTTAATACTGTGTATATTTGCTCCAAAGTGTTTTATCATATTGTTTAAACCAGAGAAGAACACCAAGAAACATGTAATGAACAAAACTGTATCTTAGTACCTACTATTTCTGAGGTTTGGAAATAGTTCAAATGGATTAAAGCTGCATTTTTAGCACAAATTTAGATACACTATACTAAACCCTCCTCCCCACTCTGCTGTCTTCAGGCCTTGTGTTTATTTCTTGCCCTCTATGGTGGCCAGTGTTGTTTAAATCCACACCACACATTTTCCACATCCCCACTGATCTGAGGTTATAAGAGGTATTTTTCAAACCAATATGGCTCATTTCAAAGACAGATCGTGGAAGTTACCTATGCAGGTACAACCCAGGATGGGAGCAAAATTCTTAGATGTAACAGGCCACAATCTTTAGCACAGAAAAATTGTGATAAGGAGTGGGGCAAAACTAGGTTTTAATGTCAGTTTGGCATGTTTGAGATGTGAGCATTACAGTCATCTGAATTACTAAAATTTGTTGCAGATCAGAATCAGAATCTGCTTTATTGGCCAGGTGTGTCAGACATAAGAGGAATTTGACTCTAGTACATCGGCTCTCATTGTGCATGTACGTGCCCATGGAAAGGGCAAGTAAACAGTAAACCAACATAAGGCTGTGTAGTATAACAAAATAACCAGTATTAACAAGCAACAAACAGTGCAAACAATGCAAAATAAACTGTATAAACAGGCAGTAAACAATGCAGACAGACAAAGGAATGCTCATTGTGAATGAGATAAATAGGAATGAAGATGTGGCTTTCTTCCTTCTAAATGTGTAAATACCAGCTAGCTAACATGTATATGGTAGCATCACAAGGAAGCTAATGTTAGCATTTCAATTTTGTGCCTTTGTATTGAATTACTGTGGCTGCAATTTGGAGTCATTCCAACTGACTGCAATGTTAATGTTTTGTTGTTCGATTAGTGGAAACCAGCATATTGTCCTAGACTAGCAAATTAAGTAATTTTGCTCAGTTTTCAACCAGGCCATATGGTTAGTTTAAGTTGGACATAACACTGCAGTCCATGTAGCATTTTAGTGAGAAGATTTAAAAATGTATGCCACCAACATAAATATAAAAGTGAGGAGTTTTTCAACTATCAAACTGCAACATGTAATTTCTTGTTTCACAAATAACTTATGGTTACCTTATAATGTTGTGTACATCAAGTATGTAACACTGAATGTGATGCGATAGTGGCTGGAACATTAGTACTCTATCAATATTACTGGGAAAAAAACATTCCTTTGTATAATCTGCTTGTGTTACTTCTTTAGGTATGAAAAAGGACCTGTCTCGCTGTAATGCCACTGAAAACCATGGTCTATATATTCCATATGCGCTAGTTCTGAAGCTGGTTATTACTGAGCTACCTGACTGCTGTAGTGGTTAAAAACAAACAAGGTACTAGTCCAGAGGTAATATGTAACCGTTCCATCAAAGAAGGATTGGCAAAAGTCTGCACAGACACCAAATTGACCTGGGTAGCAGCCCTTCCTATTGTGCTCTTTAACCTCAGATCCACACTAAATACCCCCCTGAATGTCAGCCCTCATGAAATCCTGACAGGAAGAAAGATGCCCTGTCCGTTCACTGTTGCCCCTACAGACTCCCCACCAGCATTAGTACAACATGAGGCCTTGTGTGAATATGTGCACCGGCTCATGACCCAACTGATAGGTCCTTGACA